CGATGACGGCGGCAGCGACAGCAGCAGTGGCAGCGACAGCAGCAGTGGCAGCGACAGCGAGACGGATCCCCCGGCGCTCCGTGGGCCAGAGGTTTGGTGGCTCGCCCGCTTCGACAGGCCGGCGGAACTCACCAGCCACCGCAGTAGGGAGAACCCTCGCCGAAACCCGAGGTACGAGTCGCCCCCGTCGCCGACAAGTGCCGAAGCCCTGCTCGCCTCGGTGGCGAGCCTGCCCGTCAGCAGCACGGAGGAGTTCTCCCGCTGGATGCTCAGGGGGTGCTTCACGTCGCGGAGGGGCTAGAGGCGAGGGTGGTGCGAGAGTTGCTGTCCGAGCGCGCGGAGGAGGCCCACGCTGCGCGCCAAGAGGCGGAGGATTTCCTGCTGGGTACGGTGGACCTCATGCTCAACTCGCCAGACGCCTTCGAGACGGCTCTGGCGTCCCTCGAGCTAAGTGAATCCCCCGTAGGCAAGCGTCTGAGTGATGAAGAACCCCCATCAAGGCCGCAGCCGGCGTTGCCAAGTCTGTGTACAGAGAGGGGTGGGAACAGGCCNCCTGCGCGTCAAGAGGCGGAGGACTTTCTGCTGGGTACGGTGGACCTCATGCTCAACTCGCCAGACGCCTTCGAGACGGCTCTGGCGTCCCTCGAGCTAAGTGAATCCCCCGTAGGCAAGCGTCTGAGTGATGAAGAACCCCCATCAAGGCCGCAGCCGGCGTTGCCAAGTCTGTGTACAGAGAGGGGTGGGAACAGGCCATGAGGGAAGAATTTGAAGGGCACTTGGGCACGGGGACGTTTTCATTCGTAGACGGCGCGCCAGGGGGGCGCAGGCCTGTGAATTCCAAGTGGTGTTTTAGTTGGAAGACCAACAAGGAAGGAAAGATAGACAAGTTCAAAGCGCGTCTGGTTGCTAGGGGGTTTTCGGAAATCCCGAACGTCGATTATTTCCACTCGTCTTCCCCTTGCCCATCACCTGCATCCGTAAAACTTATGCTTGCGGTGGCAAACGAGAAGGGCATGAATCTCAATCACTGGGATGTGAAGCAGGCGTACACACACGCCACGCTAGATGAGGAGATTTTTCTGAGGCTCCCCGCTGGGTGCGGGGATAAATCGCGTAAAATTGTTAAGGCTGAGCGTGCGATTTACGGTGTGAAGCAGAGCGGTAGGTAGTGGGCGTACCACGCTGCTGATACGCTAGTCGAGAACGGGTTCGAACAGTGCAAGGCGGACCCGTGTGTTTTCCGCAAGATGGTAGACGAAGTCTTGGTGATGATCATCGTAATCTACGTGGATGACATTTTGGTGGCTGGGTCTGACGAGGATTGCGAGGAGTTGCTTGCTTGTCTCAACAGGAAATTTCCAACCAAAAACCTTGGAGGGTGTCAATGGTTTGATGGGTGTGCCATCGAGAGNCATCGTAATCTACGTGGATGACATTTTGGTGGCTGGGTCTGACGAGGATTGCGAGGAGTTGCTTGCTTCTCTCAACAAGAAATTTCCCACCAAAAACCTTGGAGAGTGTCAATGGTTTGATGGGTGTGCCATCGAGAGAGATGTAGAGGCTGGGACTCTTAGAATCTCCCAAACCGCGTATATCGACAGCATGGTTGAACGCTTCGATATGCACTCGACTCCCCTCATCCCCGCTACCCCTGGTGCCGATCTAGGGCCGAAGCGAGAGGATGAGGAAGGAGGGGAGTGGCCGGTGAGGGAGGCCATCGGCAGCATGATGTGGGTGTCGACTTTCTCGCGTCCAGACGTCTCGTTCGCCGTGCGTGCGGTAGCGCGCCACGCCCACGCCCCGGCGAAGCGGCACTGGGATGCCATACAGAAGATCCTCNGGAGGCCATCGGCAGCATGATGTGGGTGTCGACTTTCTCGCGTCCAGACGTCTCGTTCTCCGTGTGTGTCGTAGCGCGCCACGCCCACGCCCCGGCGAAGAGGCACTGGGATGCCATCCAGAAGATCCTCGGCTACTATAAGGAGACGAGGGACCTCGGCATCACCTACCAACGGGGATCGGGGTTAGGGCTGGCCGTGTACGTAGACGCTAGCTACGCCGACTCGGAGGATAGGCGTTCGGTGTCAGGGCTGGCAACGACGGTTGGAGGTATCGTAGTCAGCCATGGTAGCAAGACGCAGAGCATCGTGTCTTTGTCTTCGACGGAAGCCAAGTACATTGCTGCCGGGGAGGGTGTCAAGGAGGCGTTGTTTGTGCGTGCTGTGCTTTCGTTTTTTGCCCCAGATACCAGAGGTAGCAGCTTCCAGGTCCTTGAGGACAACCAGGGGGCCATACAAATTGTAGCGTTAGCGCAGAACCCCTCAGCTCAGCTCGCACGAAACACATTGAGGTGAGGTTTCATTTCATGCGCGGATTGTTTAGGTCGGGGGATGTTGCGGTCAAAAGCTTGTTCCGACAACGGAGCAACACGCGGACCGCCTTACCAAGGCCCTTAGCAGGACCAGCCTGCACTACCACCGGCGCAATTGATGAATTTGCCGGAGTAGCTGTAGCAGTTTCTAGCACTTGCCTTGGACTTTCTAATAAGTGCGGCCGTTGTGATCCGCTGTGATAGCGACGGTTTTTGTGGTGGTAGGGGTTTATTCGAGGGGTTTTGCCCGATTGCCGGCTTTCCCCTCCATATATTACCATGTTGGTATTTCTGATGTATCCAGGGGCGTCCTTGCCCTATTGATGGTTAGTCACTTGCGTGAAGAACCAGGGAGGGTTTTCGTGGGTCTGCGATCATTGGTGTTGGATACATGTGCTGTATGATTTTGGTCACGCAGATTGGTAAGATTGCCGTTTGGTAGGGGGCACCGCGATGAGTCACGGGGCCCCTCCTTGGTGTAGGAGCTGCTCATGTGGGGCACTCCCTCTTTCGTCCGTGTGAAGGACGGTCGTCGACCTCTCGTGAAGTTAATACATCACCAAAACAGTCTCACCCGATAAATCAATGGCGTAGGCCTTAAACATCTCTCACTCACCTTCGCGAGTAGGATATCTGTGGCCTCCTTGTGTCCACTGATGACCGCCCAGTGCAGTGCAGTCCGTCCGCTCTTGTCTGTCTGATCCACCGGAGCCCCCTTTTCCATCAAATAGTTCATGATCTCTACATGATTCCCTCCGGCCGCTCTGGGAACGGCATTGAACGTACAGTAGACGCCGTTAAACAACGTTTCGCACGGGAAGGTGTTGTGTTACGATACGGGTTTGGTTCCCTGCAGACCCGACACCGCTCGTGGTGGTGCACCAACACCAGTTGATGACTTCAACATGGCACCGCTTCCACAGCGGTAAATGCTACTACTGAAGGTGGTCAAACATCGACGAGCCAAGAAACTTGATCTTTCGCTGCAGGGATTGGCAGGAAGGAGGGCCCAAAATTCTTTGAACGATGAATGGTAGACAAGACATGCGCGAATCCCAAAGTATGAGGTTCGTAGACTATGCTGCATGATTCTCGTGGGCACCAACATTTCGCTGGAAACGGGCTGCATGCATGATAGGTCAATCAAAGCATACATTTTCCTCACCTGCTTGCTATAATTGGCACTGCGGCAGTACAATAGTTTGTCCGGTCTAGTCTACAGCACGGGTTGATAATCTACAGGAAGGTTGACGGAGCTTAAAGTTTGCGTCACCAAACATTTACGACGCAGGGTTTCGGCCGTGCTACAAGACCAAGAGCTACACTGTTCTGTTGGGATGAGACACACGGGACACACCGGACATCCGATGCGTGGTGTCGAGTACATAGAGTAGCCCATGCAGGCGAATCACAACCGACAGCGGTGTTTCGATCGGTATTGCTACCAAGTAGATATCAAACGGTGCAGCTTGTTGTTGGTAATACACTACAAGCAGATGTTGATGTGATAGTAAAGCTTATTTTTTTTGCACTGTAATTGCGCTCGGAGCGGCGCTGTCTTCTACAGAGTAGTCTACAGTTCTGCTCCCACCTGTGCAACGCTCTTCGCTCCGCTGCGCCGGGCTCGTTGACCGCTATCTCGCCATCCTCTACCAACTGCTTTACTTTGCCGAGATCACCGTTGTGCGCGGCCTTGTGCAGTTCCGTGTCGGTTGGCATGACCGCTCCTTAGAGAAATAAACAGAAGCGGCCGCTACTCACCCCCCTCTGTATCCTCCTCCTCCTTGACAAGCTCTCCTCTCCCTGCGTCTCGAACTCCCCAACCGACCGACGAACCTCCCGACGAAACAGTAGCAGTAGGTGCAGGGATGCAGCAGTATGGCGGACAGTACCCCCGTATTGTGGTACTAGATGAATAAATGGCCAGCCCAGGGCACGGGGCGCACTCTCAAGTAGAGACGAGGCAGCACACAGCCCAGTCCCTCGGAAGGTGTGACGGGCAGCTTCTCTGAGTGCTGCTGCTCTCTCGCCACGCCTATCCCCTATCAGCCCATCAATTACAGCCCATGCAAGGCGTGTGGATCTGATAGTCAGTGTATAAATATTTGCGATTTCCTTGTGTCGCTCAGATGGAGTTGGCATAAACAGACAGCTGCTGCGTTGTCTCTCTCGTTCCTGTGTACACGGAGCACCCCGGCTAAAAGTCGATGTCGAAGTAGGGCGGTTACATGGTTCGGGAACTTGAACTGCGAGCGGTTCGGCAAAGGTTTCGGGAAAGTTCATCACGCCGCATGGGCTGGACTTCCTTCCGCCAACAGCTTACGCACTTTCACCAGCAGATCAGGGCGCTAGGAATTGCGGACGCTTCCTGAAGCGACGCGGGCTTATTACACCGAACATCGATTGCTGTGAACGCCGGCCTGTCTTGTCCTTGGCGACGCCGACAATGTCGCTTTCAGCTGCCGCCACGGTTGCATGGGGAGCAAACACCTTGTTTGTGTCTCCCGCAGTGAAGCCTGCGTTCCTACCCCAACGCCATGGTCCCGTCATCTTCAATCGGCCCCCTACCGCCGGAGAGCTCTCGCCAAGGCCATGGGTGGCGATTGACCCTTTCGGAGGCACCAGCACCAGGATGCACGGGAGCAGGAGCATCAAGATGGCAGCGGAAAAGCCGAAAGGATCAGCGATGCTCCAGGGTCCGAACCTTGAACTGATGAGGTACATGAGATAGACTATGCCGGTCCCACAACGTTGTGGATACGTGGAAAATCATGCTGGCGCTAGATTGAGAGACACTTGCAGATAGAGTGTCGCGAATGAGAACCAGCGAAGCACTCGGGGGCAGGTACGCAGGTACGGGACCTACTGTCTGTGGCGTTCGTGGTTGGCCCTTTGTTTGTTGACGCCTGAACTACAGGAGTACCAGGTACAGCAGCACTGTTGTAGACAAGTTCTAGACTACAGCAGTATTACATTGAAAACTTTTCTATGCATGCGCAACGCGCGGGTTCTTGATGATATCCAGAACTTGTTGTCTCGGCCGACCGCAACCGGTGTGCGAAGTGTGGAGGCCCCAAGGTAGCACGGTTGACTATGTACCTTGAACTCTTCCGAGCATTGGGTCAGTTCATTAAAGTGGTGGCAAGACCGTTTTCTGGAAAATATCGGCAAAGTTACTCCGCTTGCACCCACCCACGAAGTTTCGAGGTACTGAAGCAACTGCAGTGGAGGGGCGCTTAGCCCTTGGCGAAATAGTGAATTATAGGCACGTACCCTAGCCCCAACCACGACCAACAGATGCGAGGCCAGCGTACCGTTGGGGGTGCTAGGTAGTCGTGCACTGGTGCTTGTAGGGTAAGGTACTACTGCTGTAGGTGCGTGTCACACGCGTATTCAGAGATAGGTTCGACCGGTTGCGATGGATCTCGAATGTTTCGTGCCAAAGGTGCTAAGAGATCTTCTGCGCCCAGGAGCCGTGTTTTCTCGCACGTTGGAATCGTCTCGCCGTAAGGCATGCATGATGTCGAAATGGTGGTGAAGCTCTTGTCAGTCTCAGCGAGAGTCTGCCCACACTGCTGCCTATTTGGCTCGGAGAAAAAAAAACACTAAATTGTGTAGACACGACATGCGGCGATGCTCCTGGCGGTTGGCCCGAGAGCCACCCCTCCTGTAGACTCCCAAACTTTTGGAGCGTGTGTTTTTACCTACAGTGGTATTGGTCTCAAGGAGGACCCTACAGTTACACAAGACTGACGACTATCCGACGCGCGTTTTGATGACAAAATTGGGTGGAGGGTGGCCAGAGCCTTGCGCTCGACTTGGATTTTCGGGACCAAAGTTCGTGTTGAACATGAATGGGTTACTTCGGAGAAGGAGCCCGGAGCAACGCTACTCTCCACTCGAGAAAAGGCTCCGGCGGCTCCCGACATCCGCGCTTCCCATAACCGACACGCTTCCACCCAGCCTCGATTGGCACCGCAGAACCCAAATGGTCAGCGGTGCCGCGACGCGGTGTGGTTGTGCAATGGTTTTTGTGGGATTTCCGCGTCGGGCGAACCGCTCGAGGGCACTCTCTCTCTAGGCCGATCAAGGGCTTCGAAACCATGCATTGATGAGGGTGCCGAGATCAGCGCCCGACAACAGCAGTGGACCGAAAAACGTTCCTACTGAATTCCAGAAATTGGACGTCTGGCCTCGTTGGCTGTTTCTCGCGGTTGAGAATTGTTCGGTGTCAGCGAGGATCGAAGTTCTTTCGTTCGAAAGGCAAGGCTGCTGAGTAGGTCGAAACTACGAGCATCAATTCTCAAATGACGATGAAACGAAGCATTCCCGCGGCAGGAAAAGAGGCAGGCAACGTAGGGCCTGATCGCGTTCGACTTCTTGATGCAGGCGGTTGGCATATGGATGCCACCATATTGAGCTACCTAAGAGAGTTTTGACCACAACAACCTTTTTTTTTGCGCTTTTGGCCTCTTGTTTTGTTCTATCAGGATCTTGGTCCAAGGCGAGGTAGCCGTGGGAACTGCCGCGGCTGGCCTAGCTTTCTTGACGAAGGTTGGTATTGGGGCATTTATTTGGTTTTCGTTGTTGGCGAGCGCCTCCAGTCATGTTTTGGGAAAGTTGGGTATGGACATTTTCTTTGTTGTGTGTAATAGTACGGCAGAAACGGTTGCAACGCATCGGCGAACCGCGGCCACGTTTCGTTGTTCGGGGTTCCGTATTGCGTGAAGTCATGAAACTCCCATGCTTGAACAACTTAATCGAACTGTTATTTGATGGCTTTTCTTTGTGCGTTGTGTTGTTGTTAGAGGAGGGAGCCATCCTATTGACGACAAGGATAAAATGCTGTGATCGCAACCGCTTCCACGATATCGGGTTGTACCCTGATATGAATTCCTGCCTCTCCCCTCTTGCCTCCCCGCCCAGCACATTCACATTGATACGACCTTTCCCAGCTGTCGTTGTATCCGCCCGGCTGCCCATCTGCACCCCTCAAGGTCGTATGTCCTCGGAACGCCCGCGTTTGGGTGCCCCACACGGCATAGTTTTATTTTTTGGCACATCACCGGCGATCGCGAAACGCCTGATCGTGTCTAGTGCCCCCCCACCCCAACAAAACAACTCCTACGCACCCGCTTTAGGTCAATCCATTCGCAGGCACAGTGTTTTCTTGGGCGGCAATTAAGGCGGGCTGCCTGGGGGCCCTCCCGATTTTTCTGGTTAGCGTCCTGCTGGAGAAGAGCGGGGTCGACTTTTTTCGTAAGATCGATCAAGACACCAAGCTCTACGTCGTGCAAATCTTTGGAGCCAAGCGCAACTGGCCGGTGCGTTGTTAGTTGGTGGCTCGGTGTGCACATGGCCGCTGTTGGCGGTAATTTTCTTTGTGCTTTTGTGGTTGGTGGTGGTGATTGTCGCCGTTGTCTGTTACTGATGGTCGTTGTCGATTCTTTTGCTGTTGTTCATACCGTCGTATTTTGTTTTTCTGCCCACTCGTCGCTCGCGACCCAGTCCAGTATCGATGCGACCCCAACCCTCCCTCGCTCCCCCTCTCTCGGTTCCGCCCACTTGCCCTCCGCTTGCATGACCCCACGTCTTTCTGTCGGTCACCTCGAACAAGCAGGTGGTGTCGCTTTGGTCGTTTGTGCTCGCGGCCAACGCAGGTGAGAGTTTCACGGCTAACGCGTGACTTCACCTTCTGTCTTTTTCTTTCTGCGTCAAGAAAGGCGTCCAGGACCCCCCGCCCCCATGCGGCGCATTCTGCCGAATACTGTACATCGAAGAAACCCCGAAGTTTGGGTGGTCTCCTGCCACAACTCAGGACAAACGTGCCCCCGTCCCAAGAAAAACCCTAGGCGCACGGGTCACACGGAAGTAGGTAACGGTCGGGCACTGCTGCGGCCATGCAGACCGAGAGCGTTGGGAGACTAGCTGCTGTCCTGTGTGTGGTACGAGGCGTTCAGCCCAGCAATAGACATTTTCGCTGTGCAATAGTCACGAGCCCTCGAAAACCTGGGCGTGTGCTAGGCCGATTAACCCGCCCTCTATCGGATATCCGCTCTGTTCAAGAAGTATTACTATACCTAAATATGCTTTCGGTGGTGGCGAGAGGTTTCACCCTCATATGCCGGCCACCCGCCCGGTATACGCGGGACCTATTGTGGAACGCTTGGCTGCTATGTAACGGTCTACGGCGCTCTGTGTGTTTTCTCCGCCGGTATGAATACCTCCGAGTGCGAAGAAGTCTCACCGAACCGCATTAATGGGTCCGAGTCCGAAGAAGTCGCACCGAACCGCAATCATGGTCGGTCAAGGACAGCACCCAAGCGGTTGTTTCGGAGATTTTCGTAGAGATCCGTCCTACTTTGTGCGACTGTGCGCCACCGTGTTGAATACCGGTACAATCGGGAAAACCGCGTGCTGGACAAGAGGATTCAATGTTCGGCGTAGTCGTCTACGAATGAAGTCGACCGAGATTCACCATGCATGGATTGGGCCGGTCCGTGTACCTCTCCAACATTTGCGGCGCAGTCCCCCGCCGCCACCCCCAGCGGCAGGTTTGTTTTTGACGTGGCCGAGCTCCTCAATATCGACCTTTCCCTGACCCTAATCTACCCGCGGTGATCTTCGTCAACATGGGAACATACCAGAGCTTCCACCCGACAAGCGACAATGCTTCTTCATGTGCCCTTCTCTCATGCGCCGCGCCCAGGGTTTTTCGAGGAGGTATTGTTCCGGGGCGTGATCCAGCAAGGGCTCTCGACGCTCATTGGTGACATCCCCGCCCTGGTGATCTCTTCGGTGCTGTTCGGGTTGGCGCACTCCCCGGTGCCGGGGGCCAGCTCCTTCACGGAAGCCTGCTACGGGGCCAACTTCGGGCTGCTGTACATGGTTCGTGCACGTGCGAGGCTCATCCCTCGTGATTTAGGCGATGCGCGTCTGTGTTGATGCAGATTTGCCGAATGCACGCGTTTGTCGACCGTCGTCACACAACGTAGCTATGTTTTGCGCGTGCATTTCATGGTCTTGAAGCAGAGCCAGCTCTGCTAGGAATGCTAACTCGCGCCCGATCTTCGAGCTGTGGTGTTTGACAACTCATGGCCTATTGTTTGCTTCATTTCACTTTTTGTTGTTGCGACGCTGGATTTGCTTCAGATTTTCATTTTTTCCTGGACAACGCACTTCGGGCTTGGTCGAATGTATTTTCTGTGATGAGTGCTGTATCTTACGGCGCCTCGTTTGGTTGTTTTACACCCCCAGATGTCCGGCGGCAATCTGCTGGTGCCCATCATCGCACACGTTCTGTACGACCTGTTGACGTTCCTGGAAGTACACCAACGGGCAACTGCTCAGCTCGAGACCACACTACGCGGAAATCTCCCGCAGAAGGAGCAGGTATGTTGTAGTGGCCATCGCTTTTGGATTTTGCCCAGAAATGCTCATAGTTTGTGGCTGGTTGAACTCGTGTTTGTTGTATTGTTAGTAGCAGGAGAGCTTCGTTGACGTGGGTGGACATCTCTGTTGCGGTTTGAGTCGTTGAGTCAAACACCGATGGGCACGGAAATCTGCTGCCAAGCAACAATGGGTTTTCCTGCATCGCGCGGAGAAGCACGCTGTCATTACTTGTCGTGTGACACATGGGTACGGTCGCGACGCTCACTGTATCGTCCAAAGCCGTTTTCAACCTGTGCATTCGCAGCATCCAACGTCAAGGCTTTTCTCGATTAAGAATCATGGCCGGGAAGCACAGGATTATCCCGTTTTCATGTCCGTATGGGCATGAATATAGTGCTGCGGGGAGGTAAACCCCTCTCTGGTTTCTGCGGCATGATGCTTGTCTTTGAATTCGACCAACCTGCCATCCATGATTCGGGCGCGTTACTCTCTCACGCACGCTACTCCGTACCCTCATCGGTCCGACAGGCTGTCAGGACATTTGTTTTCGCTGCCACAGAATAGTCCACCAAACACCAACCAATGCCCGCTTCCGCGTCCTTAACGGGACACGCTTTCCCAGGAGAAACGAAACGTAGCGACGGTGGTGAAGAAGTTCAACCTGTCCGAGAAGTTCGTCGACATGTCTTACGGAGTCTTCCAGCAGCTGGATCTCGACAAGAACGGAGTCATCGACCAGAAGTGAGCTGCGCACACGCACATGCACGCGCTATGCTCAACGTTCTGTTCCTTTCAGCGTGCGGGGACCCTCCCCTCCTCTCGGCAGCAGCCCCGGCACCTTCTGGCGTCAGTTTTCCTTTGAGAAGTGGAGTGCACACATTCCTTCTCAAGAACAGTCGACGGCAGCAACCCAGTGAAGATTGTTGATGCACCATCAAACTCGTATGCGTTTCGCGCGATCCGCTGAGCCCGACCTTTAAATGAATGGCGGAAGACCATGCTGTTCCAGTAAGGCGACCGAGATGTAGATGCAGTTGATGCGGGACGAGTGACGTGCTTGCAAGCGGCCTCCTGTGTGGTTCAAGCGGGAAATATGCATTCCACGAAGTGGGTATGTCGTTCAGGCCATGGTAAACAGCAGTCCGCGACAGAGATAGGCATTTTCAGTCGCTGGTGCCGTTGTCGTTCATGTTGCTGCTGCCGCTGCTGCTGCTGCTGCTGCATGGTGGTAATGGCGTTGGCTATCTTATTTCTACCCCGGCTGGTTGATTTCCACCCCTCTTTTTCGTTTTCCGTACTGCCTTCAGGGAGCTTCAGCTGGGTCTGCGCACGTTCGGAAAGTTTGCGTCCGCGGAAGAAACTCGCCAGATCATGCGGGAGGTACCACGATCACTACCAGTACCTTCCACATGTTGTACTTTTTTTTTTTTTTTGTGTGATTCTGGTGCGAACACGACGTGTCAAGGACGGCGTTTGATCCCTAACGACTTTTGTTTTTTCGGTCCCACCTTTTCAGTGCTCCGCTCTACACACCTTTTGATGCGTGGGTGTGGTCGCTAGGGCTTGGTGGACTGTCAATAAGTGGATGGTTTTTGTTTTGCTTCCTGCAAGCCTTGATGGAGTGTATATCCCCTGATCATGTGACGCCTGGCCCCGCCTCTGCCTCGCTCCTGTTTCGCGTTTGAAACTGATTGAACCCGCCAACGACAACGCGATGCACGACGGCGTTGCCAGGCCGACCTGGACAAGAACAACGCCCTTACGTTCGACGAGTGGGTCCGCCTCCTGGCGCTCAACTACTCCGCCCTCCTGCAGCCCAAGGCTGAGAAGCAGATCGGAGGCCGTTGAGCTTCGCGGGGACGAGGGCTGGAACACACTGCGAGTTTGCGGGCGATGCATCGAAAGTGTTGACGGCAGGTGTTTCTCGGATGCAGTGTCGCTGTACTCGCCTTGCTCCTTCTGCGACACACTGCCCAATTAGAAAGCCCCCTGCACCACGTCTCATCTTCTCTCGCTTTTCGGGGAGGCCTAGAGAGAGGGAAATTTATTGTTGTAGCCTCAAATTCTTGAATACACTTCTTGTTCCCCCGTGTCGTTTTATCGTCATCCAATTGCGTCGGCTCGGTCAGGCTTGTGTACATCTCTATTCTGGTGTATTTCATTTCAACGTACATATACATATGTACGATGCACTGCGATGGTATCATCGCAAGAAAAGATGTGATTTTTATCCTCTAAGCGGAAAGCTTGAGCCTACAGTACTGGATTTTCCCCAACGGAGTACACATGGTTCAGTTTCCTAGGGAACCATATTTCTCTGAGACCGATGTAAAATGTGTTTTGGGTCTCTAGGGGCGCACAGGGCTGCTCCCCAACCGGTCTCGCCGAACGTCGAGTGAATATCGTAACTCCGGAAACGGTGGGACGGGTTGTCTCGTTCTGAACATACGGTGATTGGATGTCTTGTGCGCCGCATGTGCATGGCGCTGAAGTTTGAAGGAAACGTTGTGCTTGTGTAGCTCGTATCTTCTATGTAGAGTGTCTTAATCTTTAAGTTGAGCGCGGCAAGTTTGCAATTTGCCGCCAACGGCCAACGAATGGTCGGTATCGCTTGGGCAATCACAATAGCCTATTGAAGTACAGTGCTATCGTATTGGTCCGATAGAGAGGTTCACGATTACCGTGGAAATGCGGTACATTTGGTGTCTAAGCTTCCATTCATAAACGGCTGAATGTCGGCTTCTGCTGCTCACCGTTACGGCTCATATTCTACACCAAGCGCAAGGGTTGTGTGGGTGCCGCCGCCCAGTTTTCCGAGGTTGAGGACCCGTTGATGTGGCGGCCGTACGCCTCGCACCGGCCACGTCGGTATTGTTCCGCCCCATGTCACCCTCGGTGTTTGCCATCGGGGTTGGGTTTTCGTCGCTTGGCAACGACGTTGTAAAACAAGCCGCCACCCCCGGTGTTTGACATCGGGATTGGGTTTTCGTTGCTTGGCAACGACGTTGTAAAACAAGCCAATTACCGTTCTTTTTTTACCTCCGTTTTTTTTTTGGCGGTTACCATAGTGGTGGTCGAGTAGATCATGTTGTGCGGGGTGGAGAACCCTCACTCCGCGCAAGGGGGATGATCGCACCACGTTGTGTTAAAATGGTCAAACACCTTCGAGGCAGTTGCACAGTGCTTACAACTGTCTCTGGAAGTGAAGCACCAAGAAAATAAATTAATTCATACGCAGCTGTCATCCGTACGCAAGGAAGTAAGCACAAGATGCCGAA